CCCTTAATAACTCAGCGTAATTATGCACGTCATTATTTTATTGCAACTTAATCCATATAATAATAAATAGTTTGCAAAATACTAACGTCTTTTTCCTATTGCTTGTTGAGGGGAAAATCTGTATTTGTTACCTGCAAGGGCACGCAAGCTAAGATTTTTCTAGAGAACGCTGCCTGACCTTAGACCCGAGAAAAGGTGATCCCGGCTGAACTTCGGAGCTTCTTTGCTCTGCGGCTCGTTGACCTCAGCCAAAGTGAAAAGGTTTGATACTTCAAAGGATTGATACTGGAAGTAGTCTTTCGCTGCTGCGTCGGTGTCCGGTGAAAGCAGCTCTTTGGCTCCTTGATGTTCTCACGCTGCGCCTCCAGAATGAGTCCAAATATTCTTCGCAACGCATTCCAAGCATTAATGCGTACGTAAAGAATAAGAAAGCCTTAGCCGAGGGCGCTAGAGCTTGAAGATCAGCAGCTGCCTCCTGCCTGAAGGGTCGCCCGGGGCGTGGATGTTTGTGGGGGTACGTGCATCATTGGCGTTAACCGCAATGTTAATTACAATGGCCGCTGTATAAGTAAAAAAATGGAATAAGAAAAAATGTGGAGATAGGAAAAAAAGACAAATAGTCCAAAAGGAACAAAACAGCAGCTCGTTATACCCCAATTTAAAGGTTGTATTGTCACGAATATTGGTCTGGTCAAGGATATTGTCACTTGAAAGATAGGAGCCGGAAGGAGGGGGGACGGTGTCATCCAATCGGGAGCTCCAATACCAAAAACCCAAGTCGTAATGAAGCTTCCAATAGGATGACAGTGTTCCGTGACTATGAAGTGCCTCTATGTTTAAATCTGAGTATAACGAGCTACTGTTTAGAGTAGTGTAGTTCCATGCGTAGTAGAGTTTGCTGGCAAACGTTAGATTGTTTTCATGCTCCAAGAATCACTAACAATCAACCAACTAGCATCAGATCTAATAAAGTGAGAGAGCCATTGGTCATCTTGGGTGTTTAACGATCAGTGCGTCCACGCGTGGGGAGGGTTAACCAGTCCATGTTATTTTGCCAGTGAGGATGGCTATAGCTTAAAACAATTTAATTGGCGAACGATATAAGTGACATTAAATTGTCATTATCTCTTTATTTAAGTCAATATCACTGTGAAGTTGTGGGGTGTTTCATTAAAACTACGGCATTTCAATTGATCATTAAAACCACGAAAACACATTGCCACTGGAATATATCCTAAAATAGATTAAGATATTTAGATAGAATTTTTCTCAGAAGTTTTAAAAAGACACTTATACCGTTGTCTATTTCACCCATTCAATATAAATAATCTTTGATGCAATTCTAGATTTTATGAACGTATGAATTCTCAAATTCAACATCAATAGACATGGACGTCAGAAGAGTAGTTTTACTTTTATAAATACTCCAATTTTATTTGGACAAACATGTATATCTTTGTTTACATTTGCTTTCCTGGAAAGTCATTTATAAATCAGGGGAAACAATTCTTTGAATTAGACCACATCTCGAATAGAAGGCGGGCACGCGTCCGTGTGTCTCCGCTTTTGTCCATTCTGGTCATAACTGCCCGCCCGCCCGCGCGCCTTCTCAAAGAGAAATGGCTCGCTATTACCCTTTGCGGGGAAGCTAACCCGATTGCTGGCCGTGGCGGCGCGGCGCGGCGCGGGGCGGCGCGGGGCGGCGCGGGGCAGGGGAAAGACACCCCTCTGACGTCGTAATTTAATAGACCTCTAAGTCGATTACCCCGCGCCCCCTCCGGAGCAGACACGCAGCCGGGGCATTGTGGCGGCCCCTCGGCCGGCAGCGGGTGCTCGTCACTTTCACAGCGCGCGGATTCGCTCGAGGAGCACACACTCGAAATGTGTTGCACAACCTACAATCTTTGCGTCCCTTCCTAACCACACTAGTGGCGCTAAAACACCACCCACTTTCTTGACCGTACTTTCGTGCAACGTTATGTGAAATATAGACTGAGATATTCCTATTTTTATTTACACTAAAACTTGTAGAATGAACGAAGTGCGAGCGTGAACTCTGTTCATTTTGATGCTACTGACTTTTAATATGATTAGCTTCAAAATCTCTGACATCGAGTCATTGTAACATCAGCGATATCCAAACAAAATCTTAGTTTTAATAGTTTGAATTTCTGAGCAGTATGATAAATATTTCCTTTCCATTATTCTCTCTCTGTAAAGGGTAGAAAATCAATAAAAATTTCATTTTACGAACTTTAAAACATTTATGGCGATGGCTCACCACGAAAAATTGCACCAGAAACCGCGGATGAAATATTTTTTCAATTACTCAATCAAAATATTTCCAGGTTTTTAATTTAATCTAAAAAGCCTCTGGGTATAATGGTGTAATATATTAAATACAACCCATCTGTGTTATAGCAACTTCATCCCTTAACTAATTAATTAATAATATTCAAACAAATTGGATATATTTTTCACCCTTTGCTGCTTTTCAGAAAAAAATTCCAGTCAGGGAAATGTTTGCAGCGTTTCTGTTACCCTAGTTTCCTTCGACTTTCGTAACCCAGTCTCATTTGTCACCACGTCCCATTTCGTCGCATCAAATCCGACCCATAATTGCATGCACAGCGCAGTGAAGGGGCAACGAAATGCTGCCGTCGCTCCACAATGAATAAATTATTCTTTAAATTAAGAACTACAGTGCTACAGACTATTGCATGAACGCACCGGTCGCGTGGCGATTTGGCCTCGGCGAACCAGGCCACGAAGGCCGGGGATATCGAGGTAGAGGAGGAAAGGTGGCTTTTTGCTGCTGGAAAGTGTGAATTGTACTCACTCCAGTAGATGCTGGAACTGCTCACCGCAGCTCTAATACATTCTTGACATCTTGACATAAGTTCTGGTTCGGTAAAGGAAGGTATTGTGGAAATCTGTTCCTATATATTGTGCCTTAATTCTTTCTTCGTGTGGGGATTTACCACTTATTTGCGATCTTTCAGAAATTCCACAGAGAAGGGAATCTCACGAAGTCATAGCAGGAGAGGCACAAACTACGTGTACAGATCACAAATCACGTGAGATAATTCTTCATGTAAACTGAAGCAGTTTGTGCGATGGCGGAGTCTTGTTGAAAATGACCAGAATAACACTCTTCACTTGTCAACATTTAGAAGACAGACTCCAAGATACGATGCACGTAGCAGTTTGACACATTGTACCTGTGTCATACACACACACACACACACACACACACACACACACTTTCTGTTTGAGAGTGAAGTTGAAGCGACCACCCACAAACGGACTCTTAACCAAGACTGGAAAGCATGTCTTTCGCAGGGCGAGACCTTGAGTTCACCGTACAGTTCAGCCAAGTCCCACGCGAGTGAAGGACCGTCGGCCATCCACAATTTTCCACTATCGCAAATAAAATAGTCGCACTGTAAATTCTGAGCGAAGGCAAAGGTGAAGGCTGGCACGTTATCACTCCCGCAACGTTTCTTCAACAATGACCTGCTTCCCCCTCTCTGGCACAATAAACAGTTGAAGGCAAAAGCTTGCAGAGAGCACTGATGACAACATTCCAAACACACCTTCACAGGCGCGAAATAGAAACTTTTTTATGTTGAAGACGAGAACTTCTGTCCGTGATTTTCTCCAAAAATCTAAGCCGGTTAAGATCCATCACAAGAGATACCCGGAACTCCTGAGAAATTAAGAACGCAAATTATTGAGAACGTTGCGAAGACATGGCTGATTTTCCAGATATTGCTTTACAAAATCTAGTGGCCGATTTCGTAACTAACACCTCCCCTCTAACTGCATTTATCCATCCATCTTTCAAGAAAAGTTACGCGAGTCATAATGTCCTAGCATTGGGAAGGTATATTTGCTGCTCACTTCGCGGGATGTTGCAGGGTGATCATGATGCATAAGTGATGATAAACGAACGATTGCGGATGGGATGATATTCAGGCGGAAATCGTGGAAGTACCATGAAGTGATGTGATGCTAACGCCGTATGGGGCTCGTACAAGCAGGTTTGGATCGATGCTATTAGCCCCTGAGCGGACAAATAAATTAATAAAACGTTACCAATATGAAAAAAAACACGAAATAACGGAGTTATTTTTCTGACTAATAAGAGGGGAGATCATTCGTTGGGAAGATGTAGTAATCTAATCATGTGTTCATTTACTCACCATAAAGAAATTTTTTAAACCCCAATCTCGAAAGACGGTGTAATTTATTTGGATTTCGGTAATATTATGGCTATCTTCATCGTCGTGCACAGAATCGAGATCTGTACTTACAGCTTTAATACTAATTACAACTTTTATACACTCTTGCTACATTATTACAAATATCTTCTTCAATCACAGCTCTTTCTTTAAAATTCAATCATTAATTATTTATATTCGTCATATTTTTAACATTTATTTGAATTGTAATACATTTGAAGTAAATGTTCTAACAGTAAACTAACCACTAATGTATCAAATCAACTTTCGACTGTGCGACTCTCACGTCCTTAGTGAGTAGAATAGTGAGTGACGTCGTTTGGTCAATAAACCGCAAATAACAAATCGCGTCTGTTATTTGTATTGTCGGCGGAGTGTAATTCAATATTTTTTGTTAAAAACCATCTTATTACAAGAAAAATCATGTAAATAAGAAATACCATTTCTTGGAATAGGAGTGTTCATATCTTTAGACCCAACTCATCCGTTTCGATTGTCCTCAACGGACGACGGGCGGCCGTTAAGAAAGGGTGTTCTTCCTTTGTTCGGTTGCATTAATTCGAAATAACAGTACTGTGTTACGAGATATGTCTAACGCTGTTATTCCACCCGTCTCCTCCATTTCTTTCTGACCCGCATGATGGAGAAAAAATAGTTTCGCTGTGTTTAGCCCTGGAGTCATGAGTGAGACAAGGGGGGGGGGAGGGGTGCAAATAAAATTAGAGGAGCGGCGCGCATCGTTAACTTCCATTACGGATGCAAATGGCGGCGTTGACGCAGCGACTGCAGAGCGCGGTGCGTCGGCCCGCGCGACTACAGCGCCTGCCTCCTCCTCCGACGTCATTCACACGATACATCACACTTATCACTTCTCCCCTCTTTCACACGCACGTGCACACGCTACGGGAGATGTGGCTCAGAGCATCAGTTGATGCCACTGCAGAGAGGGAAGTCCTACGTTCTAGTCGTGACGGTGGCAGGATTTTCGACACTAGCTTGTCAGCTAGGTCGAATTCAGTCGCTGTCTGGAGGAGAACTCCAGCGGCCGAATTCTATGATCGGTAGTTTTCCGTGGTTTCTCCGCTCAACACCAGGCGAGCAGTACCCTAACAAACGGGCCACGGACCGTGGGCGACCTTTCTTCTTCCTTGTCCCATCATTTCCACTTACTTATGCACATACTAACATCCATTACACGACCGCACATGCCGAGCCGAGTAGGGAGGCCATGCCGGTAGACGAGTGGGGAGCTTATAGCCTGTTCCGTCGCAATGGTGTTCCAAAGGCCGAAACACCTGGAGGGGGAAACCTTGCAAGCGCACGAGTAGCTCGGCGCAGAATCCCATGTTGAATCGTGGAAAAACCATCGCCCCTTTCCGGGCACGTAACATGCACCGATCTTATGGGACGTTTAGTCACAGTAGATGAGGCCAGATGAAAACACCACTCTCTCATCATGGAAGCGGCGAATTCATGATGATTTTCATTTTATTCATCATGGTTATATTTTATTTATTATGGTTATTCTGCAAGAGAAAGGGCCCATCTTCTGCTCCCACAGATACTTGACAGTTGCCAGCACTTAAAATTAATCGTGCGACCAAAAACTGGCAGATTGTGTATTCCAATTCGTCCAGACACTACAAATCTCCTTAATGTGTTCACTAACTGTCACGATCACGTCGGCAGTGCACGGGTGTTATCGCCCGCTTCCGAGTTGTCGCTTATCGCTTCCTGGCGAATGCCGGTGCAGCGGCCGATCCCACAGGCCCCGGGGCTTCCTCCCCCTGCCACCGAATCTCCGCTCCGCAGTTGGCAGCCCTTCCGGGAGGGAGAACGTCCCTCACGCTCCCTCTCCTAACCGGCTCACAAGGAGAGGAAAAGTGCTTCGCTCTGTAATGGGATGCAAATGGCCTTGCTAAAAGATGATACATATTATGACATACGACGTAACACATAATTTGGTAGGGGCACACTAAATTTCATTTTCGACCCAACGCAATGAAATAATGATTTTAAATTTTGTAAGTCATTATTATGATGGTCTACATTTCTGTTGGTTATTCTATAAGAGAAAGCGCTCTTCTTCTGCGCCAACAGACACGAAGCAGTGGCTGACATTTCAGACAACGAAAGAACTATTTTTCGAAACGTGGCGAACACTGGGCTAAACATTTACTTGCACTAAATTGTCGCCGGCCGTGAGTTGAGGCGCTGGTCTCAAGAAGGTGCCTCACCAGCAAATTCTAAGACAATTGATCGTATTTAACATTTTACATCATTCTGAAAATTCACTAGAAGTAAATATATTAGGGGAGGACCGTTTTATCAAGCTTGTTCCTCAAAGTTACGCCTATGATTTACTCTTTGAATCTGTTAGGTGAAAAAGTAGCACGTCTGATTTTCCCCCGTTCTTGTTTTTTTCTTTATTTACAAGTCCCGTTTTAATTTTTGGTTTATTCACGAATTCTTTATTTGTTTCCCTGTTCTTCGTGTACGATCAAACTGCCATTAGAATCATGGTGGGAGAGTATGGATGCAAAATATTAACCCTCTCTCGCAGTAAATTCTTTACGAAAATAAAGTAAATTCTGAACATTAAATATACATTGTTAACACTAGATATAGATTTCTCGCTGAAATAATAATGTACCCGCGGAATCAGATAGTACCAAAATAGTCGGTATGAGACTAGAGAAACGAAACGTTACCACAGTCCACCTTTCCCATGATACACTCAGAGCAAGTCACCACCCCCTATTTTCCAGTTGATAAACACTTGTCGCCGGGGCCGCACCCGGTCAGACGCAGCGCGGGCGCAGCGTTCGGACTGTGGCGTCGATGTTTCGTTTGTCTAACGGGCGGCGGCGCAGGCAGACTGTTAATTTCGCGTGCTCCCACCCACACGCCGCCGCTCCGCCGCCTCTAGTATTTTCCATTAGTTTATTCATAATATATATAATTAGGGCTGGGGACCTGTGTCCGAGAGGGGAGCAGGGGCGGGCGTAGGGCGGCGGGTTTCAAAAAGCCTCCTTCAATTGAACACGTGGAAACACACCGCCGCCCGCCGCAGTTTACACCAAGAGGCGGAGGGAGTGGTGGGAGATGCACACAGGGTGTAACGTATGTCGAGGCGGCGGTGGGGTGGGGGGGTACACAAAAGGGACAGCCGACTTAGAGGTGGATCTCCGCTTTAATAATTAAGTTCCCTGTTGGAGGCTAGGATTCTTTAAGGGGAATTGTGGAGGCAGCGTGGTACCTAGATGGAAGAACTGAAGCTGCCTTGTACGCCATTATTCTGTCCTCGTGTGTGGCTCTTGGCTATGGATTCCAATACTTTTTCCAGTACTTTTATGGCTTTTATTCGTGCAAAGTATATGCCGAACAAGAGGATTGCACTTAAATGTCGCACACCTACAAAATCTACTCCAAAAAATGTCCCAATCATGTACGTACTTTTTTAATGTAGCAACTCTTCGTTTGTTTTGCTGTCAGAAAGCAAGGCAGCCAATAGTGTAATTTTCTTCCAGCAGTAACAATGTACTTGCACACAAATCCTCTCTATACAACACAAGCTAGTTGTTATTTCTATGGTTAATGTTTTTAATTGTGATACTCTTTAATGAACTGAATTATCTAGTGTGTTTTACTAATTACTGCATTAATCCTATAGTGAGTCAACATGACCACCTACCTATTTGCATATGTTATACATTATGACAGTATGACAGATTTTAGTAGATAGAAAGGAGAAAATATCTTCGTAATATGTGATACTATTGTAGGGTCTGTCTTTACATTCCCCTTAAAACTGTTTATAATCAAAAGAAATGTAAGAAACAATATATAGTAGAAAGAGGCCAAATCTCCATCTACACTCCATTGAAGTTGTTAATTAGCACCATTTTATTTAATTAATTTAGCGACCAAACAGTTTGTCTCCCTTTAATTTTAGGTTTGCTTTCAAGGTCCCATGTTTACTAGCGTGAATAAACTGCCAACAGGTTTATCAAACAGCCAATTCCCTTTCTGGAGGATTCATTAACACTCTCGTAGTTAATAAAATTGCAGAGAAAGTAAGAGTAGAGTGAGGTGACACCAAGATTAATATTGCAATGGTACATTACTTTTCTTCGTAGTTACGGTTGATCTTTGAAGTGACAAAGTTTCATTCCCCAAACCCTAATGCTTTTTACTTTTTCTTATTTTCAACATTTGTAATTGAAATCTTCTATTTGGCAACGTGAAATATATTTATCACTAAACAAACAATAAAACACATGAATATTAAATATTTGCTTCCATTATTAACAGTAAGGTAAATATGATATTTCGTTAACTTGGTACTGACATTTTACATCCACTAAGATATTCACATTTCCTATTCTTTTTAATAAGTCCAAAATGTGCACTCTCCTTCAGTTTAAAAGGGTACATTGTCCAGTTACATTAAAAACTAGTAGACATCCCCGCCGAGCGAAGTGGATCTGAGCACAGCACGCTGACTTCTTATTCAAGAGGCCCAGGTTCAATCCCCATGCTTGCCGTCCTGACCAGAGTTTTCGTGGTTTCCCTAGGTCATCCACGCGAATGAACTCCAGTCTTGGCGTCTCGACCGGCGTCGCTAGCCGAATTGGTTAAGTACGTGCGCACGAGAGGGTTGAGCGAATTTGAGACATTGCGGGTCCCTGGATGGGTGACCGATTAGGATCCCCGTGATCTAACGGCGCCGTGGGCAATAGCCCTTTCCGGGACACATAATGGCAATATACAAATACAAACCGTTTTCCGCAGAAGGATCACATCCACATAGACATATTTGAAAGAATAATTATGTATTATTAATAAAAATGATAATTTTATCATTATTATTATTATTAACTTCAATTTTCTTAGATACAGTAATATTGTCTAGAGAGCCGCAAAGGTAAAAAGTTTGGTAAAACAAATTCCGATTAAAGTAGGAGTTGTCTATCGCCTCTAATTATGGACCCTCCAACAACAACTCTCCCCCCCCCACCCCCACACACAGAGCGAAAAGGGCGCGTGCGGCGCCGCGTAACAGCGCAGTGCGCGGGCGCGCGCGCAGAGGCACGAGGGTGGGGGCGGGGGGTAATTGCTGCGCGCCATGTCGCCCACATTCTTTCGGGCGACCGCGGCCGGCCATTTCGTTTAATTAATAATAATAACTATAATTAAATATGGGCGCCCCGCCCGCGGCGGCGCGCCGGGACGAGCGCCGGGCCGGGTGCTGCGCCCGCCGCTAGAGGGTGCGCCGGTTTGTGCGGCCCGGCTGCGGAGCAGAAGCCGCGAATGAAGCCTACCTGCTCCGTTGTGAACGTCCGCTCCCTTATTTGTTTACGGTCGCTCTTTAACAACTTAGTCATACAGCGACCTCTGTGATTCCTTTAACTGTGTGGGGAATTGTAGGGACAACACGTAAGGACAACACGAACACACGCAAACATCCACACCCGTGACGGTCTTCGAACCCGCGACCCTTCGACGTTCGCTCCTTAATCATAACATGTTTTTATTATATATTCGGTCAATGTGTCCTTGATGAAAATATATTAAATGAAAATTAGTGTCGTGTTGTGTTTAAACTAGCTTCAGTATAACACTTTGAAAAAGATACTAATCGTTTCATAATACAATATCCCCTGAAATGTATTAATTAGACAATTGATGCGTCTATTGACATCGTTGTTGGTTTGGAGAGCTATTATAAGAGTCAGCATTGTTTTAAATTGAATGCAATAAATTGGCTTCTCTGGTGCTGGTGCACGGAGCTGCGAATTTAGCGGGGCTGGCGGTCGAAGACGCTGGAGAGAATTTTAATTTCGTCATGTAGTTATTGTGCTGTTTACTTCTCATCATTTTTCCAATCCCAACCACCATTGCAATCAATGTTTGAGAAAAGACGACAGCACAAAGGCAACAGCCTCTTTATCGCACTTAAATACAATATTCAGAAAATATATTTTTAATATAGTAAACTATTTTTTTCTGGACAATTTTACAAATTAACTTTTCCCCGTTTTAGTTTTGTAAACATATTCTTCTTTTCACGATTTTACTCATCGTCGCTCTGCACCTGACTCTCCAAAAACAGAAAATAAATATCGCATTTTGCGTTGAACAGGTAATTCATCACATTAGGACGTATATTTTCTTAACGACGTTCATTTGTTAAATTTTCTTTAAAAAACACAATTTGAAATGTTTTCCTTTTCATTTTTTCCTATTTTTTTAAAAATATTTCTATATTTTACAAACTGACCCATTTGTTTCTTAATATCTGTGCACTTGCAGTTGTATAAATAGGGACAAAGACCTTTAACTTGTATACTTTCCAAAATATGTTGTCTACTTTTTCTCTGATTTGTGCACATGAAGGTGATTTGGGTGAATGAGGGGTTGATTCTACGCAGCGGTGTATACATGTGTCTCTGAATAAATCCGCTTGCATTGCACTATATCTCCTTGACAGCAAGAGATCCTCACCTGCCACTCTTCAGTGGGAGTTGGGTTGCCTACCGACAGGGGCAAAATAATACTGTATATTGTACAAGAGTTTATAGAGTTTATAATAGCATTCTATATTACAATGTAGTACTCGAAGAGAATTTCATACTTTGTTGTTGATTTTTGTGGTGTGGTGGGCTAATTTTTGGTGTGGCGTGCGTGCGTGTGCAGGTGTGGTTCCAGAACCGGCGCGCCAAGTGGCGCAAGACAGAGAAGTGCTGGGGCCGCTCAACCATCATGGCGGAGTACGGGCTGTACGGCGCCATGGTGCGCCACTCGCTGCCGCTGCCCGAGACCATCCTCAAGTCCGCCAAGGACAACGAGTGCGTCGCGCCCTGGCTGCTCGGTGAGCACACCCCGCCCCCCCACACCACACCCCTCCACACCACACCCCTCCACACCACACCACTTCACACCACACCACACACTACACCACTTCACACCCCACCACTCCGCACCACGCCACACCACTCCACACCACACACTACACCACTTCACACCGCACCGCACCACACCACTTCACACCACACACTACACTACTTTACACCGAACCATACCACACCACACACCACACCGCACCACACCACATAAAATCTCATCACACTACACCACACCACATCACGCCACACCTCTCCACAACACGCCACACCACTCCACACCACACCTCACCACAGCAATCAACCCCACACCACACATCGCCCGCATCTCACCACCACACCACACCACACCGCACCCACACACCATCACAACGCACCTCATCACACCGCACAACAACGCGGACAGAAATGGACAAGCTGTGGACAGAAACTGCAAGGCCCCTAAGACTCCGTGGATCTACAAGAGGCAGACTGTCATTGATGGCTCAGTGGCAACAACGGTTGTCGTTGCAGCAGCTCTGGTTGGGAAGGCCTAAAGTTCGAGTCCCGTTGGCGGCAGATTTTCGGCACTAGGTCGTATTCAGCCGCTGTCTGGAGGAGACCTCTAAATGCCGGCTGCTTTGTTCATTAACCCCCCTTTTACGCACAAACGTACACACACCAGTACTATAGTACAACATAGACTATTTGCGATCTAGCGACAAAGTGGCCATCAGCATGAAAGGTAGATTTCATTTCACTTGTGGAATCTACTTTGACATCACCGGCTGACGGCATTGACGCGTACGTGTCAAAGCATTAGGAAACTAAGCCCGGCATACGCCCGTATTACAATGCATCTTCGACTGTGCGTAATAGCCAGTGCATCGGCTGCCTTGCAACGTGCAATGTCGAGTTATCAAGCATGCGCACCTCACTACTGCCCATGACTTCGCTAATCCTGCTATTTCTGTCCGTAGCGCTTCCTCTAAAAGCCAAACGCATTGAAGCAATAAGATGGTATTTTCAAGGATACCATTAATTTTCTGAAACAAATCCCATAAAAATTGGAGCATCCGTCACGGTCAGACGTTGCATTAATGGAGGTTCTTCTGAATCACAACGGCTGGTATTGAAAAAATTCCTTTAAGATATTTGTGATCAAGTTAGCTGTTTTCTTATCACATATGTTACGTTAGTTATGCGCTTGTAAGTAGATTGACAACTAAAAGCGAAAGATAAGTATGAAAGATAGCAGGTCCGTTGGTTTGTTGCAGCTATTTACATCCCAAAGTTTTTTTATAATTTGTGTTCATAAATAAAACTTTGAAATGAATTGGATAAATTGAACTTTCACTTTTCTCTTTTCAACTTCCGAAAATATCACTTATAAAATTATGCTTGTATCACATATCAAACAACTTAGCCTTATTTTCTTTGGTAAATTCACAAAGATTCAATTAGTAGTTCAACGAGTGCGTCGTACATTACTTACATTAGGGATCCCTATTTAATACTTTCAAACATCGTCGTTTTCTCGTTGATTCATGCCTGCATCACATGAGCGTCATCTCTATTGAACTGAAAATAACTTACCGCATTCACTTCCTTGACCAAGTGACCATTTTTATTTTTATTTTCATATCGTTCACATCTTGGCGGCCCGCACTGAGCAGATGCTCGCGTTGGTGGGATCTGCGTGATAGATCTTACGAGATAAGAGACCTCGTCACTTGAAGATGCAAACACAGGCTACCCATTAATCCACTTGAATCTCCTCCGAGCTAAGGCCTTCTCTTATAAAGGTAGCTCTGGTAAGAACGACATGATGGTAAATACACTTATTGCTGTGTAACAATGTTCAATACCCAATAATATTACCTCCTATTTGCCCACCCCTTGCCCTTATTTGGTGGGAAGGTCGGTATCCGATGGCACTGCATAGGGCGAGCCAGCTGAGACGGCTCTGTGACAGCCGTTGCCGATGCATCGTCTCTCGACGGGAGGATCAAGGGTTCGATACCCAAGGGTTATGGTGCTTTTACCCCATTAGTTACCCATCGATTTCTAACTGCCGACTATTCTGATCGTGAGTTCTCCATGATTCTCCGGTCAATACCTGGGGAATGCTGGAGCAAACCCTAACAAACGGGCCAAGAACCGCGCGCGATCTCTCCTTCCTCTTTCTTGTATTATCTCCCGTTACACACACTTACACTTAAATGCACCGAGAGAAGTGTCTCAGGGTGTAGTGCGATAACTTCGCATTCGGGAGGCTCGGGTTCAATTCCCGTGTCAGCCATCCTGACCGGAGGTTTCGTGGTTTCCTTCGATCATCCAAGAGAATGCTGAGATGGTTCTGCTGAAAGGCTACGACCGCGAAACCGCCATCTCTAGCCGAATTCCTTAATTACGTGAAGTCACGAATGAAATTCGAGACATCGCGGGTCCCTAGTTGGGTGACCGACTAGGAACCCCGGAATCTAACAGCGCCGAGGCCAAATGCCCTTTTAGGGCCTTATTATGGTTAAATAGAAATACATTTAAATGCTCTGCAGCACCACACATGCCAGTCGGAAGACCAATCGGGAGCTTCTCCCAGTTGGGGGAGGGGGCAGCTGGAGAAGATACTTGGAGGGGGAGGACACCGTGAGAAATCAAGTAGGTCGGTCCCAGATCTCGGGTGTCAGTTGGGTTCGCAGACCGCCACTTTCCGAGATACAAACACGCACTTCACGCAACGAGCGGAGCAGTTCAGTCCGTTGACGTGGCAGGTGGGTGGGGGGGCGGGGGCGGCTGAACAGCCTGTGTTGCAGATGGCGGGGCGAGCGGCGAGGCGCCAGACAGCAGTGCCGGCGCGCCACCGCCGTCCCCGCGGCCCCCGACCTCGCCCCGCCCCCGGCGACCGTCAGGTGACTATGCGCGCCCTCGGCCTCTCGAACGGCTCCTGCGCGGAACCTCCTCAACAGACTCAGCGACTATTTCCCACTGGGACAGCCGCGCCTAAGAACCCCCTCTCCCCGAAAAGGGTGGCAGACGAGAAAAGAACATAAATCAGAACAATTGACGAGCAATAATCGAAAACGCAATTATTGTCTAGTGGGAAAAATGTTCTATCCACTTGTTCATTTTCGAGATTTCCGTCAAACCGCATTGTTACGTCATTAAATTAAGTGCGTTTCAAGAACTCTGAAAGTAGGAATGTTGGTAGACGTTAAAAACTATATAAATTCACAGTGGAACAAATTCGGCTTCTCATATT